GGGTGGGGGGGGTGGGGGGACGACACAAAGGACCACCTGTCAAATCTGTGATGGTTTCTTCTGAGCCCTTTTCTCATGCCAAGGGAGGAGGGAGAAAGGGGACGCTCCAAATGCCCTTCATGCCAAACTGTCTTTTGCTTTTCAGGACCGTGAGCCCTCTGCCCTTTTTGGTGGTGTCGAGTTTGCAAATTAATTAACTGATTTGATTTTTGCCCCACCCTCCCCGCCAGGGCAGGCTCAGGGCGGCTGACATAGGAAGAATAGATAAAACTACAGTATAAATATCAATAGAAAAAGACACAACATTGTTATGAAAACCATTCACATCGCGATGGCGGTGCAAAGTGCCTATGAAAACATACATTCAGCGGTAGGATCCGCGATCGGCGGGGCCAGGCTGGAAATGGAATTGGTACAGGGCACAATACAAGAACTCATGGGCACTCCATGAGATTGCTGAGCGGTCGGGTTAGAACAGATAAAAGGAAGTCCTTCTTCACCCAAAGAGTGATGAACACGTGGAATTTACTGCCACAGGAAGTGAGAGGGTGGAGCATTGCGGGAGGCCAGGAAAAAGGGGGGAAGGAGTGGAAGAAAGGGATATATGGGGGGGGGATGAAAGTATACAAAATGTAATGTTGTTTGCTAATATATCCAAATAATAAAAATTGTGTTATATTAAAAAAAAAACCCAGTGGGAGGGCTTCTAATGTCCTGGCCCCACTGGTGGACCTCCTGATGGCACCTGGTATTTCTGGCCACTGTGTGACACAGAGTGTTGGACTGGATGGGCCTTTGGCCTGATCCAACATTGGCTTCTCTTATGTTCTTATGACGAAGCTCAGATCCTTACCTAAATGCCTGGCGGAAGAGCTCCGTTTTCGCGGCCCTGCGGAACTGTGAAGGGTCCCGCAGGGCCCTGACCTCTTCCAAAAGCTCATTCCACCACGTTGGAGCTGGCACAGAAAAGGCCCTGGTCCTGGTCGATACCAGCCTGGCATCCCGAGGGCCGGGGAGGACCAGACGATTTTGTGACCCTGGCCATAGTGCTCTCTGGGGAACGTGTGGGGAAAGGCTGGCTAAGCAAGAATTCTTCTTCTTCATCACCATCATCGAATGCTGCCATGGTCTGGTCTGGAATGTGTGGGAGGGAGCCCATTCTCCCTTCTCTCCTTTTCCCTCCCATCCCCCCGCGTCTCATCTGCTGAGCTCTGGTATCTGTTTCGTGGCCTTGAAGGGCTGCCTCTGCCAGGTTCGCTTTCCCCACTGAGAATGTAGCTGGGCTGCAGTTTGCCCGCGTTGACGGGCGCTTGCTTACTGGGTTTGCTGTACCAGGGGGTCTGGTTTGAAGGGGGTATAATTGTAGACGCTGTCCCTTTCCCCGCTATTCCTGACACGAGCGCTCATGGGGTCTCAAGTACTAACTCTCAATAAACTGAAACTTCTGAAGGAACGTTGTTGAGTGTTTTGACTGGGAACCAATGTTCCCTCTAAGCTGTGGAGTCTTGTGAGCAAAAATGCTACTTTGTGAGCTACTGGCATTAAAGTTGTGAGCAAGCGATTTGGCTGCTGCATAAATTAGTTTGCTCTGGAGCCCCACCCTCCCTGAGCCAAGACAAAAATGTGTGAGCTGGAGGCTAAAAAACTGTGAGCTGGCTCACACTCACTCAGCTTAGAGGGAACACTGCTGGGAACCCTGACAGAATCATCATCATCATCATCATCATCATCATCATCATCATCATCATCATCATCATCATCATCATCATCATCAATTTTCACTTAGCATCTTCCCTTCTCACTGGGGTCCAAGGAGGATTAAAAGTATAACAAAAACCTTTCCGTCAATCAGTAAGCAGATTACAAAATAGGATAACGATCAGGCTATCCGTGAGCAGATTATGAGACAGGATAGCATTTGAACTGAACAGCAAAGGTAGGTAGTAAGAAAGCAATGCGGCTCAGCTGGGATTGCAGAACAAGGGAGAAATCCAGGGAGTCAGCTCGCTGCCATCGAGGCTGGGATGGAGGGGGAGGCTACTTGGAATGTGTTGGTTTCGATTCTCTTGCTGTCTCGGTGATGCTCCCTTATCTGTATGTTTTATGTGCCTGACCTTGGTTCCTAGCTGTAACACCATCCCTGGGAACACGGGACTGTTACATTCTGGCAGGCCCTGTCTTTTACCTTGATTGGCTCCTTGCCGCCCAGTGACCCCTTTGAACCATGTATATATCCCTCCACCCCGCGCCTTTTGCTTTAGTCTTAACACAGACCCTGAAGTAGAGATGCTCTGCCAATACTGTATCAATAAACCTTCCTTCTAAAGAAGTGAGCTGTTGATTCTGATAGCTGCAGGAGTCTGACACAGGGTAAGTCCCGCAAACGTATCTGTTTAAAGACAACAAGAAAATCAATGTGGGGAAAACTTTCCCCCTAAAAGAATCATCCTCTCCTGAGCTGATCCATTACACTGTGCCTTTGCTCTTCCTGCAAGAATACCCGTGCTGAACAATTCCGTTTTGCACATGCTGTGAAACAAGAGAGGGGTGGGGGGGCACCCTTCCTAACTGCCT